TAAAAATGCTTACCTTGCTCTAAAAATTGCTAAGATTGTTTTAGCGCAAGAGATAATTCGTGCGTTAATTGCGCTAAGAATTACTTTAAAAGTTATTCTAGTACTTCTACTTGTGTATAAAGTTGCCAAACAGGAGAGTTTTAAAATTAAAATTTTTAATGTGCTAAATGTATGGTTGAAGGATGCGCTAAATGTGATTTTAATTAAATTTGCCTCGAATGCAATCAAAATTTGATGCTAGATACTAAGAGTAACATATGTTATCTTAAGCAAGACACTTGCTCCTCTAAATTTGACTTTATTCAATAGCCTTTCAAATTAAATTAATGTGTTCAGAGTTGTCCATCTCCTTTTTATTAAAATCAAATGACATAGATTTGTGAAAAAAATCTTTAATGCTTATAATTTGATAGAATATCTGCATAACTTAATCAAAGAGTTACTTAAATTGAATAGTTTCAATAAAATTCGTATCTGATTAGATCTAATTAATGTAATTTTGCAGTAGCTGATCAAAATTTCTAAATAATTTACACATAAGTTCTTCAAAATATGACTAACTTTGAGGAATTATATATGCCTACACCTGGCTAAGAATTCTATCAAAAAAGTTTTATTATTGGGCAATATGGTGGCTGTACTGCAAATAACACCTTGATTGTGATGGATTTTATAAAAAATAGAATTGTTTTTTAATAAATTAACTTAGATCAAGATTACCATTTTCTTTATGCAGACACTTTTAATCAAATAGTATTTCTATAAGGTAGTATAAAAGGTAAAATAGTTTGGTGTGACATTATTAAGTAATAATTAAATTCATACTCTTTTGGTAACTTTTTACTCGTATTTGTTTTTTAAACAAATAGCTTTTAAAGCACAAATTATTACATATAAAAGTTTGAAATTTCCAGATAAACTTCTTACATGGTAAAATATTTTATTTCTTTTATCAGATAATTATTTCAATAGTATGAGATAAATATTTAGAGAATAATAAATATTATTTTTAAAATTTAAATCAAAAAAAAAATAATAAAAAAAGATATAGAACCTGAACAAACAAAAAAAATATAAAATGTTTAATCAAAGATTTAGTTTTTTTTTTTAATGAAAAAATCTAAATCTTTAATCTAGCATTTCATTTTTAGAGTTAAACCTTTTTTTCATTCATTTTATATGTAATAAAAAAAATAATTCTAGATTAAATGTTTGATATAAAAATTTTAATTCTATCAGGTTCGAAACCTGCTTCAAAACCTTTTTTTTTTATTTCTTTTAATTTTTATTATTTTAGTAAATAATATTTAATATTCTACTAAATGTATATTTCTTTCTCAAGAAATAATTATCCCAAAATAGCTATACTATCCTATTTATTTATTTTGTTATGTTAAAATCTAAAATAGCCTGCAATCTTGAGAGATGATAGAACTATTAACTTTATAAATAGTACAATAACAATTAATTACTATTGGTAAACTTTAAGAGTGGTTTAGAAAAATGATTATCTAATTGGTGTTTTTAATGACACTCTTACTAAAGTAATTTAGGTATCGAAAATTTAATTTCAAAATTACACTGGAAATTAAACAACACTACTGTTTTCTAACCCAAATAGAAAATATATGGTTTACTATAGTGTGTTATTAAATTCAATTATTTCATATGATAAATAATATTTACAAGTATTAATTTTAGATTCTATTTCAAACTCAACCAGCAAAATTCTCAACATAACTTGTTAATCATAATAAAAATTTTATTTTTATGAAAGTTTGTAATAAAATTAAACATTTGCTTTTTTTATTACTCAAGAATTACTTATAATAAACATAACTGATTATGTATTTAAATCTTAGCAGCAAAATTAATCAACTCCTTTAATTCAAAAAATAGGAACTGCTTTTATTACTAATCAAACTATAATTACTAATGTTATATTTTCAGAAAATAATATAATAGAAATTTTATTGACTTAGATTTTGTAATCTAACAGTCAGAACTATCAATAAATAAGATTACAATATAACACATTAGATTAAATTTATACAATTAAGTATCTTGACCCACTTTAGTATTAAAAGCTTTATTATTCTATTGATAACTTAGATATTAATATTAATCAAATGTAGAATTAATTTAATATAAATAAAAATTTAGATCAAAATTCATTTTATATATATGACGGATATCAAATATTTGCTCAGTAAGCTTTAGGTGTTTAAAAAATAAAATACGCCTTGTAGAATTTATAAAAAAGTTAAAAAACAAACACAAGATTTTTAATGTTTTAAATTAATGATAGTTTAAATTACTATGACTAATTTGTATAGATAGACAATAAATACTTTCTAATTAGCAAAATAAACAATTAAGTGGTAGATGAATTTATTGTTGAGATTTCTTCATAAAAGCTAGTTATTTCTTATTAATATGCTTACAGTAACGGTTTTACTAAATGTTATTTCATGTAAAAGAGAAATTTGCTAATAGTCTAAAATGTTCCTCAAATATTTAGTTTAGATAGCTGTTAACCTATGATATAAAATCCTTTAGATAATAACTTTTCTTTAGAAAGCTTTGCTATTTTAAATGATAACACAATTCTATATATAGCCTCAAATCAATTATAAGAATACTAACTATATTAAATTGATCTTGAATCTATGATAATATCTTAGCTTTACAATTTCGGTAAATATAATTAACCTTCGTTCTATTTTATAAATAACGATATTTATCCTTTAGTTGCTTTTAATGACATTTTATACTTAAATTTTTACTTTTCTTACTGTTAACCTTTTTCTTTAAGCTAAAAATAGTTAATTTATAGTTTAACTTATTTAGTTATCCCTTGGCAAATATATGCGTTTATAAATTACTAAAAAACAGGTGATATTTTTATATTTACAGATTCTTTAATTTATGTATATAGCTTTGATTTATCATCTTACAACTTGCTTAAATTTGGTGTATCTTATCCTTTTACTTTGAATACTGTTATTAATTTTAACGATAGATATATCTTTTATTATGACTAAAGTTATATGTATAGGTTTGATATGGAGTTGAAATAAATTACTTACTTAAACGCTTAAACAGATAAAGATTTATATAAACATTCATAAATTAATTTCTATTCATTAGATAATGAGTCACTC